CCCTCCCTTGTAGCACTAGCAAATCTGCCCACCAGGATATTGGTGCCGCCCATCCTCCTTCCAGCCTGGGGCACTGGTGTTCCCAAGAGAATCCACACTGTGTCTCTGTCCAGGATACAGGGTGATAAGGAACACCACATTCACAGTCAGGGTGCAGTGAAGCAAGCTGAGAGATGGAAAATCCAGTTTCGAACACAGAAAGTGTGTGAGTGAGCAGCAGACCGTGCCCTCAAAAGTTTGCAGAGTTGATTCTGGCCCACAAACACACATTGACTTTGTACTTTCTCTTCCAAACACAGCTGGGGTCTGAGCCCAAGCCACATGACAGTAGAGTCACTAATTCCAAACAGGTTTGGAATTCGAGCTCAGGGAATGTGGTCTCCTTGGTGCTGGAATGTTGTGATCAATGAGACCTCAGTTGTATTTGTGGAAGGGTCGAGCTGGGCCTGATCGGACATTGTCAAGCAGATATGTTTCTTCAGAGAGGGAACATCTGATCCTGCAGCACAGTGCCTTCTCCTTGTGGCAGCGTTCCCAGATGGATCAGCTCACCCTGGGTCAAGCTCCACCAATGGTAGGAGCCTCTCCACTGTTTTGTGTAGAGGCAAAAGTCATAGAGCCATACATCACAGAAACAGACCCTTCGCTCTAACTTGTCTGCGCCAACCAGACATCCCAATCTGACCTAGTCCCATTTGCCAGCATTTAGCCCATATCCCTCTAAACCCTTCCTATTCATGTACCCATCCAGATGCCTTTTATATGTTGTAATTGTACCAGCCTCCACCACTTCCTCTGGCAGCTCACTCCATACACGCACCACCTTCTGTGTGAAAAAGTTGCCCCTTAGGTCCCTTTTATATTTTTCCTCTCTCACTTAAACCTATGCCCTCCAGCTTTGGACTCCCCTATCCTGGGGAAAAGACCTTGAGTATTCATCCAATTCATGCCCCTCATGATTTTATAAACCTGTATAAGGTCACCCCTCAGCCTCCAATGCTCTAGGGAAAATAGCTCCAGCCTATTCGGCCTTTCCCTATAACTCAAACCCTCCAACCCTGGCGACTTGATTTGTGAATCTTTTCTGAATCCTTTCAAGTTTCACAACATCCTTCCTATAGCAGGAGACCAAAATTGCACACAGTATTCCAAAAGTGGCCTAACCAATGTCCTGTACAGCCACAACATAACCTCCCAACTCCTACACTCAATGCACTGACCAATAAAGGCAAGCGTACCAAACACCACCTTCACTAACCAATCTACTTGCGAATCCACTTCCAAGGAACTGTGGCCTGCTCTCCAAAGGCCCTTTGTTCAACACCACTCCCTACATCCTTACCATAGTCACAGAGCAATACAGCATGGAAACAGGGCCTTCGGCCCAAACTTGTCCATGCTGACCATGGTGCCCACTCAGCTAGTTCCAATTGCCTGCATTTGGTCCATATGCCTCTAAACCCTTCCTATCTATGTACCTATCCAAATGTTTTTTAAATGTTGCTATTGTACCTGCCTCAACCACTTTCTCTGGCAGCCCATTCCATACACGCACCACTCTCTGTGTGAAGAAGTTGTTCCCCAGGTCCTTCTTAAATCTATCCCCTCTCACCTTAAACCTGTGTCCTCTAGTTTTCAATTCCCCATCCCTGGGAAAAAGACTATATGCATTCATCCTATTCTTGCCTCTCATGATTTTATATACCTCAATAAGGTCACCCCTCATTCCCCTACATTCCAAGGAATAAAGTCCTTTCCTGGCCAACCTCTCCCTATAACTCAGGCCTACTAGTCCTGGCAACATCCTCGTAAATCGTCTTTGCACACTTTCCAGTTTAATTATGTCTTTACTATAGCAGAGTTTTTTTCCTTTGTTCATTCATGGGATGAGGGTGTCACTGGCTAGGCAGCATTTATTGCCCATCACTAATTGCCCAGAGGGCAGTTAAGAGTCAGCCACATTGCTGTGGGTCTGGAGTCGCATATAGGCCAGACCAGGTGAAGATGGCTATTTCCTTCCTTAAAGAACATTAGTGAACCAGATGGGTTTTCCTGACAACCGACAATGGATTCATGGTCATCATTAGATTCTTAATTCCAGATTTTTTTTTTATTGAATTCAAATTTCACCATCTGCCATGGCAGGATTCGAACCTGGGTTTCCATTATCCAGGGTCTCTGGATTAATAGTCCAGTGATAATACCACTAGGCTATTGCCTTCCCCATAGTGACCAAAACTGTAGATGATACTCCAAGTGCAGCCTCACCAACGACTTTCACAGCTGTAACATAACATCCCAACTCCTATACTCAATGTCTCGACCAATGAAGGCCAGCATGCTAAATGCCTTCTTCACCACCCTGTCCACCTGTGACACCGCTTTCAACGAGCATAGTTCTGTTCCACAACACTCCTCAGGGCCTTACCATTTACTGTATAAGTCCTATCTTGGTTTGGCTTTCCCAAGTGCAACACCTCACACTTATCTGTATTGAATTGCAGTTACCAATCCTCAGCCCACTTCCCCATCTGATCAAGATCCCTCTAATTTTTGATAAACTTCTTCACTATCAACAATACCTCCTAATTTTGTATCGTCCACAAACTTACTAATTATGGCTTGTACAGTCACAGCCTATTTATGTAAATAACAAAGGTCCCAGTACCGACCCCTGTGACACACCACTAGTCACATGCCTCCAGTCCGAGAAACTACCTTCAACCATCACTCTCTGCTTCCTACCATTGGGCCAATTTTCAATCCAATTAACTACCTCTCCCTGGATCCCATGTTACCTAACCTTCATGACTAGCCTGCCATGTGGGACCTTGTCAAAGGCCTTACTAAAGTCCATGTAGACAACATCCACTGCCCTACCCTCATATATCGTCTTGGTTACCTCTTCAAAAAACTCTAAAAGATTTGTTAGACGTGACTTCCCATGCACAAATTCATGTTGACTATCCCTAATCAGACCATGACTATCCAAACATTGGTTGATCCTGTCCCTCCGTATTCTCTGCATTACATTTCCTACCACTGATGTCAGACTCACTGGCCTGTAGTTCCCTGGCTTATCTTTGCTACCTTTCTTAAACAATGGAACAACATTAGCCACCTTCCAGTCTTCCAGAACTTCACCCAGTGGCTAAAGATGAAGCAAAAATCTCTGCAAGGGCCTCTGCAATTCCTTGAACAAAAACAGAAGTTGCTGGAAAAGCTCAGCTCTGCAATTTCTTGCAAAATCTCTGCAGTTACTCTTCAGTTTCTTCCCCAGGCTTCCACAATATCAGTTGATGAACTTGATCAGGCTCAGGGGATTTATCCACCTTACTGCACTTTAAGGCTGCAAACACGTCTTTGCTGGTAATATGTGTGTGGTCTAAAATATTCCCACTTGTTTCCCTTATTTCCTTAGCATCCATGATTCTTTCCTCAGTAAACACTGAGGAGAAACATTCATTAAACATCTCCCCCATCTCTTGTGGCTCCACACATAGACAGCCATGCTGATCTTTAAGGAGACCTATTCTCTACCTAGCCATCCTTTTACACTTAATATAGCTATAGAACCTCTCGGGATTGTCTTTAACCTTATCTGCCAGATCCATCTCATACCATCTTTTTGCTCTCCTGATTTCCCTCCCGAGTAGGGCACCCTACATATTGATTTAGAAAACTTTCTTGGACACATTTGACAAATTCCATCCCATCCAGGCCTTTTAAACTCTGGATGGCCCAGTCAATACAAGGAAAATTAAAATCTCCAGCCAATACTACTGTATTATTCCTACAGATATCTGCAATCTCTGTACACATCTGCTCCTCTGGTTCCCACTGGTTGTTTGAGGGGTCTATAATACAGCCCCAACAGAGTGACCATCCTGTTCTTTTTCCTAAATTCTAACCATTTGGTCTCATTTGATGACCCCGTAAGAAAATCCTCTCTAAGCACTGTTGTTATGTCCTCCCTTATCAAAAGGGCAACTCCCCCTCCTTGCTCACTTGTACTTCGGTCACGCCTGTAGCTTCTGCATTCTGGAACATTGAGTTGCCAATCTGCCCCTTTCCCAGCCATGTTTCTGTTATGGTTATAATATCCCATTCCCCAGAGCCAATCCATGCTCTGAGCTCAGGCCTAATTAGGTGTAAAAGTAATGAACTTTAAATGAGATTCATAGCGCATGGAACATGAAGTGTGGAGAATAAGGCTGGGGAGTGACAGGGTGAAAATTAGCATTACCCAGGACTGAGTGTTAAATATTGCTGGAACATAGAGAGAGGTTTTGTTTATTCATTCACAGGGTGAGGAAATCACTGGCTAGGCAGCATTTATTGCCCAGACGGCAGTTAAGAGCCAACCACATTGCTGTGGGTCTGGAGTCACGTGTAGGCCAGACCAGGTAAGGATGGCAGTTTCCTTCCCTGAAGGGCATTAGTAAAGGTCATTAGAAATGCCCATCTAGAACAAAGAAGAATACAGCACAGGAACAGGCCCTTCAGCCCTCCAAGCCTGTGCTGACACATTTTGCCCTTCCATACTAAAACTGTCTTCACTTACAGGATCCGTATCCCTCTATTCCCTTCCTATTCATGTTTTTGTCCAGGTGCTTCTTGCATACTGCTGTTTATGTCCGCTTCCACCACCTCCTCTGGCAACGCAAGATAAAGAGAGGAGGAATTATTTTGTTTTGATTCATTTGTGGGATCTGGTCGTTGCTGGCTAGGCTGCAATTATTGCCCGTCCCTGGTTGCCCTTGAGAAGGTGGTGGTGAGCTGCCTGTTTGAACCCACCTGCTGTGGATTGACCCTCAGTGCCATTAGGAAGGGAATTCCAGGATTGTGACCCAGTGTCAGTGAAGGAACGGTGATATATTTCCATGTCAGGATGGGTGAGTGGTTCAGAGGGCAGTGTTCCCGTATGTATGCATACACGCTAACTCCACGGCAGGCCATTGAGAAAATAACACTTGCTGTGTAAACAACATCTCAGAAAGTTTTAAAAAAGTGCAAACTTTTATTCAAACTATTAATTACAGGTTTGGGCTGATAGAAGTTAGAAGAAGGTTTGTAAATTATATATAAACTCTTTAATAAAATTAACTATTGATCTTGTATATTTTCTGTCTTGTATTGTTGGTGAGAGCAGACTCTCTTTCTACACACTGCAGGCTATTACAGTCACATTCACTGCGATGCTGCAGGCTCCGGCAATAAGGGAGGGGGTAAGATTACTGGTTGTACTGGTCAGTGCTCACATTCTCCCCACTCGATGGGAACGGACAGGAATTAGTAGAAACATTAATCTGGGCCCAAGTTTCTGCATTGAGGTGTTGACGGCCTACACTATGGACAGGATACAAGAGGTCAGCTGCTGGAGTTTCACAACAGTGAGGGATGGGTCTGCAACACTCCTTACACACAGTGAGGGGACAGGGCTCTGTGTGTGTGTGACTCCCCCATACAGACAGACACACAATAAGGGGACAGGGCTCTGTGTGTGTGACTCCCCCATACAAACAGACACACAATGAGGGGACAGGGCTCTGTGTGTGTGACTCCCCCATACAGACAGACACACAGTGAGGGGACAGGGCTCTGTGTGTAACTCCCCCATACAGACAGACACATAGTGAGGGTACAGGGCTCTGTGTGTGTAACTCCCCCATACAGACAGACACACAGTGAGGGGACAGGGGTCTGTGTGTGACTCCCCCATGCAGACAGACAGACACACAATGAGGGGGACAGGGGCCTGTGTGTTTAACTTCCCCCATACAGACAGACACACAGTGAGGGGACAGGGGCCTGTGTGTGTAACTGCCCCATACAGACACACAGTGAGGGGACAGGGGTCTGTGTGTAACTCCCCCATACAGACACAGACACAGACACAGTGAGGGGACAGGGGTCTGTGTGTAACTCCCCCATACAGACACAGACACACACACACTGAGGGGACAGGGACCTGTATGTGAGATTCCCCTCACTACACACAGACATGATGATGCAATGGGTATTGACTGTGATTCCCGAATGTGGGCATCGCTGGCTGGGCCAGCATTTATCGCCTGTCCCCAGTTGCCCTGGAGAAGGTGGTACTGAGCTCCCTTCCAGAACTGCTGCAGACCACAGGGTGTATGTAGCCTCACAATGCTGCTAGTGGAACGCTGTCTGTGTCCCTGACCCTGCTGTTTCTCACTGTGTGTTAGAGACACTTCACTCGTGTGTTTACTGAAACATCCAGTAATCCAGTCTCGGCTGTTAGGGCTCAATGTTCACTGTTTAGAGGGATCAGGAGAGTTTAGTTATTGGGAAGAGGGGAGATGCCCAGTTCACTCCAGGAGGAGGTTAGCACCAACAGAGCAGACTCCCCAGTGAGACGGTGCTGGAACAGTGATTAGGGAATCAGATTGTTCAACTGCCCAGGGTATTTCTCAAATTCCCGCTCAGCTTCTTCACTGAAAGCATCGCCTAAGGGAGGGAAGCAGAAAGAACGGTCATTGGTAACAGACAGAGAGAGAGAAACATTCAAAACTCTCACTTACACTACTTTCAGACTGGAGGCCTGTGACCAGTGGTGTGCCACAGGGATCGGTGCTGGGTCCTCTGTTTTTTGTCATTTATATAAATGATTTGGATGTGAACAGAGGAGATATGGTTAGTAAGTTTGCAGATGACACCAAAATTGGTGGTGCAGTGGGCAGCGAAGAAGGATATCTCGGAATGCAACGGGATTTTGGTCAGATGGGTGAGGAGTGGCAGATGGAGTTTAATTTAGATAAATGTAAGGTTTGGAAAGGCAAATCAGGGCAGGACTCATAGACTTAATGGTAAGGTCATGGGGGGTGTTGCTGAACTAAGAGACCTTGGTGTACAGATTCAAAGTGGAGTTGCAGGTAGATAGGATATTGAAGGTGTTTGGTAAACTTGCCTTTATTCGTCAGTGCATTGAGTATAGAGTTGGGAGTTTATGTTGCGGCTGTATAGAACATTGATTAGGCCACTATTGGAATATTGTGTTCAATTCTGGTCTCCCTGCTTTGGGGAGGATGTTGTGAAACTTGAAAGGATTCACAAATGAAGTTGTCAGAGTTGGAGGGTTTGAGCTATAGGGAGAGACTGTATAGGCTGGAGTTATTTCCCTGGAAAGTCAAAGGCTGAGGCCTTATGAAGGTTTATAAAATCATGAGCGGCATGGATAGGGTGAATAGACAAGGTCTTTTCTCCAGGTTAGGGGGAGTCCAAAACTTGAGGGCATAGGTTTAAGATGAAAGGGGAAAGATTTAAAAGGAACCTTTTCACACAGAGGGTGATGCATGTATAGAATGAGCTGCCAGAGGAAGTGGTGGAGGCTGGTACAATTTACAACATTTAAAAGGCATCTGGTTGGGTATATAAATTAAGGGCTATCAGCCAAATACTGGCAAATGGGATGAGATTAATTTAGGATATCTGGTCGGCATGGATGAGTTGGACCATGTGTTGTACAGCTCTGTGACTCTAAGTTATGGTGGCCTGGAATGTTCTGTCTGAGAGGCAGATGGAAGAAAATTCATCAGTAACTTTCAGAAGGAATTAGATGAAATATTTAAAAGGGAGGGAAGTTTTCTCTTAGCAGTTGGGATAGTAACAGGAGCAGTGGGACAGAGTGTGGGGGGAGATAACCCTAGAATGTGCTGGAATTCTTCATCCAGTGTGACAGCTTCCACAGAATCACAAACAATTAATGCTTCCTGTAGTGACACCAGAACTGGGGAAACCCTCTATTTCCATGGATGCTGCCAGACCTGTTCAGAGTTTCCAGCTTCCTCTGTTCACCAATTTCCAACCTCTGCAGTATTTCTCTCTAGCTCAGGGCCTACTTTAGGGCATCACGGTGCCTCGGTGGTTAGCACTTCTGCTCCACAGCACCAGGGACCCGGGTTCAATTCCAGCTTCAGGCAGCTGTCTGTGTGGAGTTTCTATGTTGGGATCAGGAGAGGGCAAGGTGCTGGTCACTAACAACATGCTACAATTTCTTTAACCTGAAGATACTGTATGGTTAGACTCACAATGCTCTTAAGGGAGGGAATTCCAGGACTGTGACCCAGTGACAGTGAAGGAACGGTGATATATTTCCAAGTCAGGATGGTGAGTGGTTTGGTGAGGAATTTTGAGGTGTTCCCATGTATCTGCTGCCCTTGTCCTTCTAGATGGAGGTGGTTATGGGTTTGGAAGGTGAACTGGAACAGCTGTGTTAGTGAGTGCCCCCCCCCCCCCCCTCCCCCTCTCACTGCGTGGGCTATCAGAGGTCAGAGTGGTCACGCCATCCCCCAGGAACATCATGCTCATGGAAGGACTGCAGCACCAATCGGATTGCAGCACACATGGAGCATGGAGACCAATCACAGCTAGTTTTGGAAAGACATGGTTACCGATGTGACAGTTGTGCATCCAAATTCGATGGCCGTCGTATTTACAATTACATTTCATGGCATTGTTGGTGAAGTCACTCTCAGACACTTCATAGTTCGGGTTAATCACAACCTGTCAAGGAAACAGAGCCATTAATATCCATTGACAGCATACTGTCTGACCCACTGGCCTAGAGAGGGATCCACTGGCCCAGGAGGTGACCTATTGGCCCAGAGAAGGATCTACTGGCCCAGGGGGTGACCCATTGGCCCTGAGAAGGACCTACTGGCCCAGAGAGGGATCCACTGGCCCAGGGGGGTGACCCACTGGCCCAGGGAGGGATCCACTGGCCCAGGGTATGACCCACTGCCCAACAGCAATGACCCCAGTCTCTCCAGGTTCTGTTTTACCTGCATGATGTAGTTTCCAGGTTTGACATCGGTGATATCAATCCATTGGCAGTCAATGTCATGACGATAGGAATCCCAGCAGCCCACAGTGATCCCCTGTTCTCCAAAGTTAGCGCACTCATACCTCTTGGCCACATCTGACAAAGACCAGAAGCTGGTTAGATAGATACACACACTCACTCACACAGACACTCACTCACTCATACACACTCACTCACACAGACACTCACTCACTCTCACTGAATTCCAAGCCTGACATTTGGACCTTTTTAAAGGCTTTCCCATTTGACGGTGAGCGACTGGTTATGGTTATTTTCGGGCTAGATGTCACTGTGACTTTAATCTGATCACTGTACAGGTCTCAGGTTGTTTCTAACACAATGAGGGTTTCTGTGATGGACAATGTGCAGAACTGGCCCAAACTGCTTGCTGTGCCAAACAACGAGAACTGATCTCATTCGATAGATGACAGAAGACTGGGTAACTAATAGAAAGCAGAGAGTTGGGTAAAGGGGCATTTTCAGGATGGCATCCTGTAATTAGTGGAGTGCCACAGGGATCAGTGCTGGGGCCACAATTATTTCTAATATACATCGACGACTTGGATGAGGAAAGTGAATGTATTGTAGCCAGGTTTGTGGATGTCACTAAAATAGATGGGAAGGCAAATGGTGAGAATGACCCAAAGACTTTGCAGAGGGATGCAGACACGTTCAGAGTGGGCAAAAACCTGTCAGATTGAATATAATGTGGGAAAATGGGAGGTTATTGCACTTTGGTAGAGAACAATACAGGAGCTAAATATCATTCAAATGGAGAAAGACTGCAGAAAGCTAGAGCATAGAAGGATGTGAACTGGAGAAAGGATCCAATTTAAGCAGGTGATAGGGAAAGCTAATGGAATGTTGGCCTTGATTTCAATGGGAATGGAGTGTAAGAAAAAGGGAGGGTTTTGCTAAAACTACATGGCACCAGTCAGACTGGAATACCGTGAACAGCACTGGGTCTCTTATCTAAGGAAAGATATACCGGAATTGGACGCAGTCCAGAGAAAGTGGGAATGTTTCTCCCAGGATAGAGATATCATTAACTAGGGGACAGAGATTTAAGGAGGTAGAGTTTAAAGGTGATGCGGGAGACAGTGTTTTCCCCCCACAGGGGGTGGTAAATGCCAGGGGAGGTGGTAAAAACAGATACAACAACAACATTTAACAGGAATTTTGACAGGTAGGTGAATAGGCAGGGAATAGAGGGATATGGACAGTGGAGGGACAAAAGGTTTTTAGTTTTTAAAGGCATCATGCATCAGCACAGTCTTGGTGGGCCGAAGGGCCTGTTCCTGTGCTGTACGGTTCTTTATTTTGAATCCCACTGTCTACCAGTATTACTGCTGCCATCGCCCAGTATAATTTCACCATTTCATGGTGACCCCTCCCCACTGTGAACTCTGCCCCCTCTCCCCCCCGACACACATTCACACTCATTCAGAACATTCCCCTCCACATTCCTCTGTCCCCAACTCCTGACCCCACACCAGCACCATCCCACCACCCCAACACCAACGCCTGCCCTCTCCGCCCTGCACATCTGTCCTCACAACCCCCAGCTGTTCCACATGCCCCTGTCACCCCACACACGCAACCCCTGTCCCCACACACTGCCCCGCTCCCACCCCCCCCCCCCCCCCCCCCCCCGTCCACCCCCCCCCCCCCCCCCCCCCCCCCCCCAACTGAATTTCCGACAGTGTTACTGTCACATTCAAGGTGGGAATCAGTGTAGATGCAGTGTGGCCTATTTCCATGGATACAGTTCCTGTTCCAGTTAATGCCGGAGAACTGGAGACATCGTATTGTCAGCAGGATATCGGTCAATGGCCATCAACCTTTCACCCGCTCCCGACCCCTCCCTGACAGCCCCAGGGTGAAGGGGCAGTGTCCATTATCACTTACTGTCATCACAGTCGCTGTCCTCCAGGCAGAAGCTGGCCTTGTGCCCCTCTGCCACCTTGCTGCCATTCAGCGTCAGGATGTCATAGTGTGTGAAGATGTCCATGCTATGGTAGTGTCTGTGAGAGAGACAGCAGCTGAGACAACGTCAACCACCTCCCCCCCGCCCCCCCCCCCCCCCCCCCCCCCAGGCCAACCCCCCCCCCCACCCCCACCCCCACCCCACAGGCCAACCACAGCCCCCACCCCCACACACACCCCACAGGCCAACCACACCCCCCACCCCCACACACACCCCACAGGCCAACCACACACACAACCCCACCCCAAACAACAGGCCAAACACACACCCCCACAACAGGTCAACCACGCACCCCCACCCCCACAACAGGCCAAACACACACCCCCACCCCCACCCTCCACAACAGGCCAAACACACACCCCCACCCCCACCCTCCACAACAGGCCAAACACACACCCCCACCCGCACCCCCCACAACAGGCCAACCACACACCCC